AGTGACTTGCTCATTAGAACTCCCTTTTCCGTTAGTGGTTGGGAAATAATGTTATTTCATGAATAATAAATAAATAAACAAGTAAAAATATTGTTTAATATCAATACTATGATATTGTACATTACTGATCATGTTTTAATTCCAAAAGTGGTGATGTTACTTTTAGGCCTGTCATGGTTCTATGTTTTTGTTTTAGTTTTTTTTTTGTTTGTTTCTGGGTTTCAGTATTCCACATCAAAACATCATGTAGTGTACAGGGCATTAAAGTGTCACTGCCCCAATCCCAGCTACCTATCCTTGTACATTACAGCAGTCACGGGATCTGGCCCTTCCGGGTGGGGGGGGCGCTCTCTTGCTGCCTTGCTGTGGGTGCTGGAGGGTGCTTTCCTAGCCGTTCCAAGCTTTTCAGGTTTGACTCGGTCCCGGGAACTCTCTCTCTCATCTTGTCTGATTTATTAATCCCAATTGCAATTAAATTGTATATATTGTGTTATCTTGTATTCCAATATTATAGTAAAATAAGTTTTCCTCCATAGATTGTTGCCGCTGCTCTTTTCCTCCCTTCCTTCCTTCCCATTTTTGTGGGACTGGGGTAGGGGGGGAGGGCAGAGGCCTGTCGCCCCTGTCACGGACATAGATTGATCTGGTCAACTCCGTGACAAGGCCCAACTCTACTTCTGCTAATACCCAAACCCAGCTAAGCAAATATTTGTAGAAACATATAAAATCTCATTTACAGTTTTGGGATAACATACATATTATGAATAATATGGGAAAAGCAGCACTATATGTATAGATAGATACATAAGTGATTAAAGAGTATGTGCCCTAAGCATATGTATGGATGCACTTTCACATTCTAGATAAATGAGAAGCTAAGTTTATGGTACTGTTAGCATTACTTCTGTGCCCTATTTCAGACCAAGTAAATTACCACAAATTGCATTTAGATGGCATTTCAACCTAGTTGCAGTCAGGTCCACTGAAAAGTACAGAATATAATACCAACATGATTTCCATGGCATGATAACATCACACTGAAGCCTATCACTTCTATTTTTTTTTTTAAGATGAAGACTACACTTTTCTTTTATAGAACCATTATTATATAACCTAACACTGTACACAGAAATGGGAAACTTAACCTTAGTAAAATTGTCTATTTTCTTTGCTTCATGCTTTAAAACAGTAATAACTGAGCAGTTAAAAGGGACCAGTAGATATCTGTAGAACTGATTAGCTATTTTTACCAGGGTTATCAGTAGTTTAGACATCAAATAAGGGATTTTTGATCAATGAACCAAAAATGTGACATCGGCTGTGCAGGTTTACAGTCTTGGGGCCTGATTCTGATTCACTCTGACACCATCATGAGAAGTAATTTACGTAAATTAAAAGCATACATTGAAATGGTGGAGCGTCAGAATGAAGCACCTTGTGCTCCAATCTGTTTCACTCAGTATTTCAGGTCTGACTTTAGAGACTAGCTCACTTACAGGGCTCTGCATTAGACATATTGCCTTCTTGTTTTAAAATATGTATGTTTAATATTTAATTTAACAGAATTCCACATACTAGTGCCTGTGCTCTGTGGAAATCCCTTTGAGGCCCGTGGTTTTTATGTGCAGTTGCAATACTCCTCAAGCATAATTTGGTAGCACCATTGCCTAACGGAGTAAAAGGAAGTATCTGTCTACAATTAATCTTTTCTGTTTTTGAAGTGAGCAACAAAAATATCGCCAAGCCAGTTGCAATTTGCAGAAGCCAGTCTCAGCAATACTTACTTAATTTAGTATGTGTGATAGCATAATGCTAGTAGAAGTACAGGTTTCATCAATCATCCACACACTTCCAGTATGTGAAGTTAACTTAGATCACCATCTTTAAACAATGATACTCAAATGTTTTGCCAAGTCTGTGGTACTGTTTATAACGCTACACGTACAGATTATATATAAGTAGCAGAAATTGAGCTTGTGTTTATATTTTCAAATGAAATAATAAATTATTTTTCATTATAATATGCTGTACAGTATTGCCTAATATCTGCCAAGATGACAGACTCATTCATAATGTGCACAGAAAACAACTGCACAATCTTTTTCAAATGCTTACAGATTTTGAACGTATGATCTGCTGGGACAATCTATACAAAGTCTGAAGTTATCTACAGGCAACAATGGCAGAATGAAAACAGCAGTTTGAATGACACCTGGGTGGCCATCACAGTTAGCTTGCAGGGGAGACTATTTTCAAGATCATTTGGCACATCCAGAGTGTGGGATAGCTCTCTGAAGTAAAGCGTTTAAACATTAAAAGGTCAGAAGCAGAACAGCTAAGTTACCCATTCACACTGGCAATGGGAATCTTTGCCATTTGGCTCTGAACCACTTTGCCATTCTGCATCCTAATGACAATTACATGTCCCACACTGATATTTCACTTTCAATTTTCATAGAATTAGTGAAAGCATTTAAGGAGTTAATGGAGGCATAGTACTTTCTTTAGAGAAAATATGAAATTAGATTAGAAATTAGATTGCCTTGAAAACATTACATGCAGGAAAATGTGCACTCAGAAAGCCTTCAGGAGCAATCATCTGAGCATGGTTTCTTGTGACTAGCATTTCACTGTTCCAATACAAAGGAAAAAAATAACCACATAGATCTGTGGCAAGATTCTGTTGTCTGCAAGAGGCACAGATCAAAACTTCATAATCCAGGAGAACTTAAATTGTTCCAAACCATTCTCCATCCTCACCACCTTAAACTAATGAAGCGAGCTGTAAAATCAGCTGCAACAAACAAAAGGCATTAGTGGCTGTATGGCATTCAGCAGGTATGCAACAGCCTTCCCCTAACATGCTATCATGATTCAGTCACACACCCTGCAGGAGGACTTCAGAGATTGTCCTCAGAAGGCATCTTTACGTTTCCTTCCACCATGTGCTACCAGGGGTATCGTCCCTTCACCAGGAATAGAGCTTTTAAGGGCCTCGTTATGCCAATCTGATTCCTCTTATCTTACGTAAGGGGCCAGCGTGAAGATGGAGCTCTCTTTTTCAGCTCTAAATCTATCCTATATGGCACGCAATTCTCTAAAGTACAGCCAGCTTCTGCTTTGATGAAGTACTGTGCAGCGAAGACTGAAGGATGCTGTTTTTCACCATTTAAAGATGTATGATAGCAACAAAGCTCTATGTTAAAATATTTAACTCACAGAGAACTTATGGAAATTGTCTATTCAAGCTCAGCAAAGACATTAAATTACCAAGCTGTTCTAGGACAGTTGTGTGTGGAGAAAAGCCAGAAATGCTCTGAGATTGTAATGTTACTTACAAAGATTACAGCACAAGCCTGATTCAGAAGCTTTTTATACATATCAGCATGGTGAGCTGCAAAATGTTACCATATCAATTTCTGCAAAACATACTGTGTGTGTACATATAGATATAAAATCTGGACTTGTACACAGCACATTTCCTGCCACATTTTGAACAGCATCTGTTTGTTTAGTTTGCTGAAATATGAAAAATAATGTTTAGCAACTACTGGCAACACAATGTTAACATGATTTAAGAGTTTAGCTCAGTCTGTCAAAATGCAGATAAAAGACAAATCCTTCTATCTCAGTGTTTTAATCAGTCAGATCAGGGTTCTGATGAATATGCAAATGTGACTGTTTATATACTATTTTCAGAGTGAAAGGAAACAAATTTGATTTCATTATAGAATTAATGATAGCTCTGTCCCCTAAGATTAATGAGTAAAACCCTACACACATTAAAATGATAGCGCTCCTTCCTCCCACCCTCTGAAGACTTTACTTCTTTTTTTTTTTTTTAAATTAAAAAAAAATTCCTCGTGCCTTTGTAATTGTTTGTCCCCCTAATTGGAATGATTAATCATTAATGTCAGTTCAGAGATATGTAACAGTCCTCTTTAGAGCAAAAACTGTGCTTAACAGACAAAAGGGTTAAGAACAAAATTTTTCTGTTAATTTTGGTTTTGCTCTTCTCTGTAGGTTGAACAATGAGTTTCATGGCATGGAAGGAACTCAATGACCTGACCTAATGGTGGAAACCAGTTCTTTATTCCAGAGCAGGTTATTCATATTATTTTCTTCTCATTTTACAATATATTCTGGGATTCTTTTTAAAGCCTGAGCTGCCAGAATCAGCAGCCTTCATAAAAACTGCAGCTTTCATTTTCTGACACACACATACGCTACAAGTTTGGACCAAATCAAATCTCAGAGAAGAGATTTAGACTATGGAACACGTGCACTATCATGTCTGAGAAAACAAAAGGGAAAAAATATCAGCAATTTCTTTTCTTAATCTGATGATATCTGAATTGATATGGCAGTGGCTGAGTCATGATTTCCAAATCTTCAGGACAAGAAACATTTCAGAGAAAGGTTGTAGCAAATTATATTCAGCCTTAACATTAAACCTCCTTCCTCCACCAGAACTGTCATATTTCATTTTTGTATGGCCACTAGGGTCTATATATTGAGAGAACTAAACCCCTTTTTAGTTAAATTTACCAAAGCAGACAATCTTAAGACTAAATAAAATAAGTTGCTTTTAAAATGCTTTGCATTACTTTACTAGGAAAAGCTGTATTCTCATTCCAAAGATTCTTATTTCCTTCTGAATAGAAAAGCTTTTTCCATAAAATCAAATAAATAGAAAACTCTAAAAATCACATTTCTTCAATAAAGCTGCTTCAGTTACTTCCTTTAGTGGTCAGTTGGTCCTACGTGGGAATTTTAGCATTGCCTGGCATATTACAAAGGAAATACTTTACATGAAATTAAATTAGCATTTGTCTATATTTCACTATGTGGGCAAAGCTACTCTGTGTGTCACTGACAAGAGTAAAACAAATATGTGTGCATGTCTACCTTAGCAAGGATGACGAATTATTCTCTGTAAGCATTTAAGGGTAAACATCCATAATGAAGCCTGCTAGTTGGTAAAAATGCCTATCACTTACCACGCTGAGTCCTAGCAGCTCTCTGCAAAAGTAGTCCATGTTCCGCCTCTGTAGGTTGTCAAGATAGTGCTGAAGGCGAGTATAGGTGTAAGGGTAGCAGTAGGCAAATTGATAAGTGTCGTTCTCACGGTCAAAGCAAAAAGCAAATGACATGACATAGTTCTTCCTGTGGTCCGGGCAGCGATAGTAATACACATTTTTGGAGGGTATTCTTTGCCTAAAAAATAAAAGCAACATATATAAATCAACATATATGTGTTCAAAAGAAATCTGAAGTGAAATGCTTTCTGAGATTCCTATTTCCTCTCATGTAAATGAAGTAAAATAATTTTAGACAATGTAGATCCCAGAGCCTGCATTTCAGAGCACTCATGCACACAAATTCCATGCTTGGGCTGTGCCAGCCATGGCTGCTGTGCCAGATCTGAGCTTGTAGGGCTAGTATAGCAGGAGAGAGTTACACACAATCAGACAAACCAACTCCCAGGAAGTACTGAAGATACACGGGCAGCTGAGTTGTGTGCTCCTTTGCTATCAAGCTTGTGCAAACTCATAGTGCTACAGAGTTTCCAGCCAAATCTCCGGCTGGAATATGGCTAAACCCTATGATACACGACTGGTTCATCCATGCACAGGCAAGGCATAATTGATGAAGCATTTTCAGTACGAGTATATATACAGTACATAGTATAATATATGCCAATATACATATACACACAAAGGAGCTATCCCTCTTAGTAGTCAGGGGATGTATCAACACCTAGCCAATGAATTGAAGAAGAGATAAGTTCTTTAGGGAAAACAAAAACAGGAAAGAAAAAAAAAAAAAAAACAACTTTGGATTGGGAAAATAACCTGGTCCTAAATTAGAAAGTGAAGGAGAAAAGGATGTTTGATCCTGTTCCAAATTGGATTGCTGCCCTCCGTGATAGTTCTGGCTTATAGTGCTGACATGATAAAAATTAATATACATGATGGTAAATAATTACAGTGCAGACATTTATTTATGTCACTGCTATTAAGCTGGTATCTGTTTAAAGAATAAAAATGTCTGCCTGACATCTTTCACCCAACTTCAGTTATTCTTTAATTTCTCAAAGGAAGTGAGTAATGTTTCAGAGGTGCATCAAACTCTGATTCTATGAAGCAGAAGTGCTCAATATTTCTATTTGTGTCCCTTCTTCATTACAGAGATGGATTTTCCACCTTTATTTAGGCAGGAGATTCTCTAGTCATGCAATGTACTTGTAATTTGATGTAACTAACTTACCAATCCTGTTTGGCAACGAAACACTACAGTCCTGCAGACTCTAACTGAATCAATTACATAATATTATGAACGGGTCTCATCTAATGATTGGAACACATCTCAGCTAAACTAGGATCACGGTGAGGGAAAATGTAATAAGATTTAGAGACAGCAGTAGCAATGCGTCTCTTTGTAATAGTTCCGAGAAACTGGTCTACTGCAGAGCATCAGTTATGGCCTTTCACTGCTAATATGGAATGGAGGACAAAAGCCTTTCATTATGCAGAAGTATGCTTGCCAATGAGCAGCAGTTAAGGAATCTGATCAGCAAGACTCAGGGGCTACAAAGAGAAACAGAAAGGAGTTGAGATGTTCTTGAAAAAGTACAATGAAGAGCCAGTGAAGCAGTCAATTAGACTTGAAATAAGAATTTATTTGCTGCTTCTATTACTCTGGTTCTTGAATTTTCTGTGCTTCAAGAATTTTCTTCAGCGTTTTTTGTTTTAAATAAGATATTTGTTTATCATTAACATCTGAAAATGATTTTTAAGCCACAAATGCAAGAGATAGGAAACAAAAAACAAAACTATTCAATTTTTCTTTAGTAGTAGGGAAAAAATGCCACCAGCTGTGTGCATGCAGTGCCCTCACCTAATAGGTTTCTCCAGTATCTTAACATATTTCTATCATTCACCCTTACTCCAGAGTGCTATAGGACATCCCTCATTTGATCTCAAATCAAGCAGATGATATGGCACTGGGTAAATGTATTCTAACTCCCAGTCCTCAAAACGTAATGCAAGTTTAAATAGTATGTTGCTGAGTTGTTGAACTTTATTTGTTTCAAAATTAGCATGGGAGAAATAATAAAGGACAAGCCTCTCTTTATGAAATAAAAAAAATCATGTAAAATGAGACCAATAGGAGGAAAGTCAAGATTTTACAAAGGCTAATACTAATTGAAATTCATCTGCTGATAGTTAATGCTTAAATGACACGTAGTTCTCCTTGGTTCAATAACTTTCTACTTTTAAGCAAGTTGAAGACAACTTTGTTAATGTATTAAAGGCACTTTTGATATTTTGTTCCTTCGCTCCTTCATTATAGAAGCCAAGCATCTGTTTTATTATCCACTTTGACACATCACTTTATGGCTGCATTTGGCTATTATGGCTAATCTTGATGTCTAGGACATCTGGTATTGACATTTCTCTATCTGGTGTCTGACACAACAGCAGAAAGCATGCTCAGTTCCTAGGTTTAAATTCACCCTCTCAGGGCAGGAAGTGCCCAAACTCTTAATTCAAGCCATATCTTCAAAAAATAATTATAATGGTACTCCTGTCACTGCTAATCTATTTTTATCTCTCCTAGCACTTTGTCACTGCTAATCTATTTGTGAGTCATATAGAAAAAGAGAGTTAGTGTTTAGATACCAACAGCACATCTTTACACACGGTAGCCTAATCAGATTGAGATCTTATCACGGAATTAAAGGGGAAAATAAAGGGGGGGGGGGGCGGGGGGGGAGAGGAGGGAAGAGAAAAAGAAAAGAGACATACTGAGACCAACTGAGTTTTTGATAACGAAAAGACATTGCTCAGTTCTTGAATTAACCTTTGTGTCCTAGACGCACTATTGTTTACTCTTTCCCTTTTTTGTTCTATGCCTTCTGGAAAAGGACACCCACACACTGTGGCAGCAGCTGCTCCTATTAATTTAAAGCTATTACAAAAATTAAAATTAAACCCAATTACTTTGGCTGGTTTATAGCCGGAGAACGGCTTAGTCTGATTGTTCCCTCTGGTTATGGACAAAAACAATATTCCTACCTAAAGGCAGCTGCCAGTGGAATACTAATGCATGTGGGCCTGGCAGGGACAGATCCAGACTGCGGAGTGCAACTGCATTTCTTACCAAAGGAAAATATCTTATCATGGATCTGCACAAATGCACCAACTTCTTACACTGTGAGTCACAATGAAGTTGATTTGTAGTTAGAGTTAGGAAAGCAAAACAATAGAGGAAAGCTTAATACTCAGATTTGTCATTTTGCATTTCCAGGCAGCTCGCATGAAGAAATGCACCCTGCTAATTGATACACAACTGCCTGAATTTTCTCTCTTGTGAGCAGTTATTTAAAGGAGAACCACCCCAATTCCAAGTGCAGCCACAGAGCACAACATGCAAGCAAGTCATTTCCAGTCTGTCTTCAGAAATACATTCACAGAAATAAAGCTTAGTATTATACATCATTTTGAAATAAATTCAGACTCCTTGGGTCTTGTCTGACAAGGAAGCTGTCCCAACCCAGCAGATGTGTTACTCTAAGTGTGCAAGTACACGTGCCTGTCTCTTCCCATACACTTTCTTCATTGCTGTCTGGAGTCAGAACATAAATCCCACGTTGGCAGAGTGCAGTAAAATCAAATCTGTTAGTTTATCAGCAAATTGAGGTCCTTGGTCAGAGTCAACTCCCTGGGTAACATCAGAGGCCCCAGGATTGCACCTTTTGCTACAACAGTAGGCAGTAATGATACTTACTGCGTAACTTAGTATCCTAGCAATACTTCTATTCTGATTATAACTTAATCCTATTTCTAGTTTATCTAGAGCTTTGAGTTTAAAGCTAAATTTTATGTATTTTTTTTTTTACTGTTGTTTTTTCCTTTTGAAAAGAGCTAATCAAGTTGTCGCAGAACAAACATGGGGGGAAATGCAATGTCCATTCTTTTTTAGGTTTTAAACACATAGGGATATTAATTAAAGACAAAAGGGTCTTTTCCTTTTAGTCCTTTTGAGGGTCATTTCCCCTATGTTGCATGCCTAAAGAAGAGAGTTCTTGCCCAGCAAAATTTCCAATGACTTTAATGAGCAGATTAAATAGTCTTTGGACTGCTCTTAATGTGGCACTCAAGAAGTATTTATTCAGTTCCTTGACTGTACAAGACTGGGTTAGACATATCCCAGTCAGTAGGCTTCCAAGTAAAATGATGACCTTGGAAGGAAAGTCAAAAATCTGCAGGTTCTGTAAAAGATCAATGGTCAAAAGACAATGTCAGTGTTTGGACTTGGAAGGAAATGCTCAAGTGAATCTGATTGTAATGCTGTGTTAGCTGTGGTGATATAATGTGAGATCATTTTCAATTGCCAACAACTTCCAGATACAGGGATACAACTTAATAATTCTACAAATTTCCAAGCCTCCTTATATCACTCGTAGGAGTGGGACTGAATCATTGCCTCAAAGGAAATTATGCCTAGTTTTTAAAGAGATTCAAAACACAAAACCTGATTCTGATTGTGAAAATAACCTCAAGGTATTAACCTTATGATAACCTTATTGACTCCACCCAAAATACCAGACAGAGTATTTGGAGCTAAATGTCCCTTTTATTAACTGCAAGAAATCCAACCAACTCTGGAGAAAATATAAAGAAGTCAAAAACGTACTGAAAACTCTTCTGGGAGGCAGCCCTTTTAAACTGAAAGCCTTAACAAGTCCTTTATCTGCTGGTGTAAGCCATTGCCTTCCTTCTTGCTTATTCTTGTTGACTAATGGAGCCAACTATTTTCAGAATTTCTGATGAACTCATGACAAAATAAGTTTACAGATTTCTTTTTTCTTTCACAGAATTTTGTATTTGATTCACAGAACTTCGAGTGACTAAATATATCTGGTGATGTTAAATATTTTTTTTTTTTTTTGCATAAAACTGAATGGATTTTGGCACAGCTCAGTTTCAAACATTGGAAATTATGTTCTGCTTTTATTCTTGCTAATGTTTATCAGAATATTCTCAGAATATTTTTATCCCCTTGCATCACCTACTCAAGCTTTTTCACCTATGCAGATATCTAATTTCTTCTTTCTAGGTATAAAAACTGAAGCACTGTGTAAATCAATAGCTTTCATAAAAACCAGGATATCCAGACATTAAGCATATGGCATTCAAGGGGTTAATGTT